TTTTCGCCAAAGGTTACACGATTTAAATCTGTTTTGTTTGTAATGCGAATATTTTCCAGCTCCGCTTCGTTTTTTTTCGGTGTATTTATATTGGATATTTTTCGCGTGCCAAGAATTTATAAATGATGTGCCCGCCGTTAACGTACCTTTGCAACAGTCTTTTTTCGACGCGAATTTAATCATTTGTAACAAATGTCGATTTGATTTTCTTCTGTGAAAAGTTTCCCAGTGGAAATGGGCGTGAAAGATATGTTTGAGATGTTAGGTGTGTATGCTTTATAACGCAACATGAATATCATTTATCAAAAATAGGTTATGTACGATATATTTTATTCGCAACCATGTAGTGTATGTAATGTTGACATTTCTGACGTTTAAAAGGTTGAAAATAAATGTGTAACACTTAAAATTACTTTATTCCTAGTTTTAGTAATGTTTAGAGCAATAATTATTAGATTCACATGGGTAATCTTGGTATTATTTGATAAAAAAGTTTTTAAAATCTAAAGGTAAATTCAGAAATCATAGTAAATAAAATTTAAATAATTAAACCATAAATACATGAATCTGCAAATAGACACTTGTTGAGATGTTCATAATATTCTGTGAAATAAAAGTCATACATAATTTAAATTGAATTTAATAGAAAAATAAATGAAAGTGATATATTAACAATATTTTCTCAATCTGTTCGATGATCATTAAATTATACAAACGTTCTTTGCTCAAAAGAGAAATAATGATATATTAACAATATTTACCCAATTTATTTGATGAATCAAAAAGTAATAAAATTGGAAGTATTTTCTCAATCCACTTATCAACATTTAAATTTATAAACGGTAGAAATAATATAATTGAAAATATTCAATTCATTTTTAAACGGTTAATTTTATAGTCAATAGAAATGGTGTAATTGAGAATATCCTCTCAATTCATTCGACAATAGTTGGAGAAATATATGAATAATAAAATAAGAAGGTTTATTTACACCTATCCGAGACGTCTTGTTAAAATTAAGGTATATTGATTTGAGTACTCAAAATAATATTTACAAACTGGTTGTAAATAAAAGAAACAAAAAGTATTCTTAAAACTAAATCATACAGAAAATAAAGAAACACCCGTTTCAAAATATAAGTATCTAAATAGACATTGCGAACATATTGTTAAAATTAAAGAAAAAATAATAAATACCAAAATATAATCCTAGGTCTGACAGCGGCACTAGAAAGAGCCCTCTGTTAGGCTACACACTGCACACCGAAGCTTATCATGTTACAGGACTGCTTGGGGCACGGGACCATCGTAAGAACGTTTGAAATAAAAAGGAAATCTCTGCTTCGCAGGGTAAATAAAACGGACCAGCATATTGGCAAGACAGAATTCCATTCTGTAGCTTTCTGAGAATAACCACCCACAGTTGATGTGGCTCTCTTGTTCATCCACGGGAAGACAAAGAAAATGCAGGAGCAGCAAAGGAAATGACTTACCTCTTTTGAGGGTTTTCTCTGCTACCGGGATCCAGCAACACGTAGAAGAAAGTATCTCTCGGCGTCTCACTTGCCTCAGATTTTGGTCAAAAACCAGGTTCATCCAAAATAAAAGTAACATAAACATTGACACGGGGGCCCTTGGACAAAACAAAAAGCTCGGGAACTAATTATTACTCAACACTATTTAACACAATGCGGAGCTAAATCCCAACGGCCATCTTCTTCCAAAAATCAAATTGGAAATGGCCGAAAAAAGTTATTTAAAAAAAAAGTGACCGTTCTATGATAACTGACAAATTTCTAACGAAAAATGTTGCCAACCTATTAAGACCAAAAAGAACTAGTGTTCAGCCAGTTTCTCGTGTCTCATATTTATAGTCAAATATAATTAAAGAAAAATAATTATTATGCAAAATAAAAGAAATGGAATGATAAAATATTAAAATATAACCCTTACTCTATTCCTAAGGTTATTTACAAAATTATGCTGTGCATGTAGACAGATCAAACGAACGTAGATAGATCAAACGAACGTATCTATTTGTGAATTGTACTAGACTGGCAACACTGGTTTGGCAACCTTGTTTGTGAGCGGCGCGCCAATTAATGTGTTCTTCGACAGTTTGAAGGATCTGTTGGCGCGTTGTCTTCTCTTTTTAGCTATATGCATTCGGCATATCGTCTCATTCGTGTTAGGCTCACTCATCATAATGCGCCACAGACACAGTATACTTAGGTATACTGTGACACAGAGGACAATGATGTACAAAACAATATAGATTAACACGTATGAAAATAAAATATTAAAATTAAATTTATGTTATTTATGTAATATTAAAATAATGTGTTTTTATGAAATTTAACTGGGTGTTCACTGCACAAATGAACCAATGAAGAAACCACCCCTGTACAAAGCTACAGGCTTTCGCGAAAACATCTCGCTTCATTGCGCTCACTCAGAATGATGTACCACAGAGACGCGATTAGCCAGAACGCAGTGGCGTATTGAAAAATAAAGGTTAACACCTATGAAAACAATAAAATTATTAAAAGTGAATTTATTATTTTAAAATAAACCAATGCAGAAACCGCCATCCTGAAAGAGATATCAGCAATACCTAGTTATTTAATCGTGCAGACTTTGTATCACTACAGTTAATAAGGAATTACGCTTCTCTTGTTTATATATAAGGTGTTCCTAAACATCATGTCATAATTGAAGAACGTAATGCCTTGGCTCATATTATCACTAAAAGTTCGTATAAACATGTGTCCTAAATTGCTTTGTTTCGAAGATAATCAGTTTTTCATCAATATCATAAATACTCTTTTGCCGATTTTGATGAAATTTGGTACATTTGTTTGTTTGAGTAAGAGGCTGATTTAAAATTGATTAGATCGAAATTATCAATTCCATTGCAGTACTTAAAGACAACCTTATTAATATTTTTAACAAAAAAAGGCACGCCATTGTGTTTTTCAATATTGGAATTAATAATTCAGATATAACTAGGTCAAAATTAGTCTCTTACTACAACACATAAATCTGCCAAGTTTCATCAAAATCGGTCGAAGAGTGTTTGTGATATGAATGAAAAATTGATTATTTTTAAAAATTTGAACATCCTGTATCTTTGAAATAAAGCCATTTAGGACACATGATGTTTAGGAACACCCTATAATATTATATTATAATATACATTATTACATAATTCAATTGATTGTAGTGATATTCTCGAATAAATAAATGTATGTGTTACCTTATCCTCAACAAGGAAAAGTATAAAAAAAATATAAAAAAAATAAAAAAATATAAAAAATAAAACATAATAAATATAAAACAGTAACGCAATTTGGCGCTTGTAGTCATTAACATAAGAAATTGTTACAGTTCAAAATGTTACGTTTCAATGTTGTGTTTTAAAAACATATTTTGCACCAGATGATACGTTAACCTTTTAACCCTTACCTAGGTCTCATTGTAAAAATATTTTATAATAAGAATTCTTACAAGCCTCAGGCCTAGCTCAGATCGAAATGGGTCAGTGGGATTCGTTTAGAATTTACGTTCAAATCAATGGCAAGGTCTTTAATTAAAAAGACTTAAAAGAATTCAATTAAATAAATTTGGGCGCCATACCTTTAGATCTACAATAAAAGTAAATTTGCCATTAACTTGTCAGTTGAAAGGAAGGAAAATAAAAGAACTTAAATTTCAAAACAATTAATCGGCTTTAATTTAAACCAAATTAGTTAATGAGTGATATTAACAAATAAGAAAGAAGAATGAAATTTATTGATTTTAACAAATTAATCGGTTTACGTTATTTGACTAGATAATACGTTTAAAATTAAAATTGACTAGTATAAACTTTGACTCAAAATTGTGTGTGGTCCTGGCCGACACTTATCTTGTGTGTTTCCGGATTTCAACGGTCGCTCTCTTAACTGTAGCTCAGCCTACGATGACTTTAGACATATTCTGCAGTTCTAGATGTAGCTCAGCCTATGATGACTTTCTTTATACTACGAGTTCTTAGTTATCAGAGCCAGTTCCTTACTATCCTTACAGGGCCAGTTCCTTACTATCCTTACAGGGCCAGTTCCTTACTATCCTTACAGGGCCAGTTCCTTAATTTTTTAAGAAAGAAAAAACGTGTCAGTTACAACAAAAAAACCGTATCTTTTCATTGCTTCAAAAAAAAACAAAACATGTGGTCAGCCATAAAAGCTTACTATTTAAATTAAACATTTTTAAATTGAACATTTCAAGTTTACAACAATAATAGAGATTTGCAATAGTATTTAAATTAAAATACATGAAGAATGGAAAGATTTTTTTAAATAACAGAAAAAAAATATAAAATTAATGGCAGCCATTTTGTACATTGCATGGAACTTAGATTACGCGGAAATCTCGCTATTAATGAATAAAATAACTCAAAGATAATTTTACCAGGATATACACACATAATAAAATTAATTTCTACCATTCATTATAAAAAAAAATGATTCTGTTACCTTAGTTAGTTCGGAAACACTTAACAAAGCACTAAACAACTGATTAGTTTGGCTGCAGAATTGAAAAAGAAATAAGAAACCGACTGAATGTGTGAAATGTGAAACGGCCACATCAAGAGATGACCAGGCGTGCGCACAACCTCTGACAGTAATTATTGATTTTTAGAGATGGCGCACCATTGGTTGAGCCATAGAATGTCTCAGAGACAATTTTCCAGAATTAACATAATATCCATATTTCCAAATACGAGGGGCACTCAAAAAGTATTAGAATATATTGGAATATTTGAACTAAGTAAATATTGTAATTATTAAAAGGGAGTGACGATTACAACGTAACAAAATGTCAGTTGTCGGTTTTGACTTTGGAAGCACGTGGAACTTCCATGTGCTTTGCTCTCTTAATTTTTTCATACAAAATTTTATCTTAACATTTTTATCCTAATTTTCTTAATATATTTAATTGTATTTATTTTGTTTCAGGCTCCATAATGTTCCATGTACGACGGAGACCGGCAGATTGCGCACCACGAAAAAGAAAAAAGAAACCGGGAGCCATCGGCCAAACGGCTAGTACGAGGGATGTGCGAGAAGTCGCGTCCCCCCTTCTGGTCGAACTGGGACCGGATGGCTCTGCTCCCCATCCAGGCGATGCGGCCAGGACGATACGGTTGACCAACGATGTTATGGAAGTGAGTGTTTAATTGATTTACTATCAAAATACAGGGTGTCCCAATGAAAAGTAGCCCGTTTCCAGAGCTTATAACTTTTTACGGTGAATTTAAAAGAGATTTAAAAAAAAAACATCCTGTATAGGTAATACATAATTTCTGTGTCACTGAAGCAAAACTTTTAGCAAAATAACAGATATCAGCAAAAACCGCACGTTTCTACGAGGTGTTTAAAAGTTATAAGCTGTGGAACTCTTAACAACTGTTTCAATATAAAAGTTATTTCTGTTCCGCGTTGGATAATTGTGCACATTAGAGTGATAATTAAGCTTTTAGGTACATTGGAAGTAACCCGTGTTTGATTTTATAAATAAAAATTAACGCATTCCGTAATAAGAGACTTTTGATTGGCATCCACCTCAAAGTTTCAAGCATTAGATTAATGGAAGTATATTTTGAACAGGATAATATTATTCGCATAGCCCTAAGTAGATGAGATTAGCCAGTTCTGGACCAAGGTCAGAGGTACAGAGAGAGTTAATTGGGTAATTAGTAATTATCCTAAGTACCCATCCCCCACCCTTCGCGCAATTAGCAAGTACCTCCCAATTACTATTATGTGCTGTAATAAGTGTAATTGCGTAGTGTAATGACACCCCTCATTACTTCATATACATAGAGGTATAAGTACCTCTCAGAGAGTATTAACTATATCACGTAATGTGTAACGAGCATAGTAAGTACCCATACTCATCGAAGTGTAAGTACCTCTTAGTTAGTAATTAATATGTATATCATGTAATGAGTTTAGTCTAAATACATTTCAGTGATTACTATTGTGGCATAGGGAAAATAAGTCCTTGTCTAAACACATCCTTGACTCTCAACCGCCATAGCAGAGTGAAGCGCTAGTCTTCAGCAGACACGGGCCACGTAAACATTGGTGGAAGGAGTAGAACCCCACCCTTCGCGCATCTTCAGACTTGTATATTATGAATAGTGGAGGGAATCATAGAAGAGGTGGGAATTTTTTTTTTTTTTTTTTGTAATAGGATAGGTGGGAATTTTTAGAGAGGGTATATAGGATCTTGGACACCAATGCTTTTTAAATGGAAAACGTGTAGTTGACTCTGGACAGTAGAGTGCTGGTGTGGACATTTAAGTAAAGATAGGACAAATATTGCTAATAATTTAAATGGAAAGTTATTTGTTATAAGGTAAAGTCAACATTGGACAATGAAAATAAAATATATTTCGATTTAAAATTATATTTTTAAAGTAATAGTATTAAGTATTTACAGTAACTTAATAAGTTTCAAAATTGTCTCTCTTTGAAGCTCAGCTTTTTTATTTAGGCCCATTTTCGGTAAACTTGTAATTAGTTTCTTTTTCTTAATTTGTTTTTCTTTGTAATTATTCCTAATTTCAATTCCCCGTTCTGTTTTGTAAAATTGTCTCCGTTTCTCGTTAGCCTTTTCCCTCCGCTTTATTCCTTCGGCACCTCTATCACATCTACAAGTGGATTTATCATGAAGTTCGTGTTCAGATGTGTAGTTTTACAGCTTCAGATGCTAATTCTGAAATTCCTATGCTTACTAAGCAACACTGTTTTCCTCGGGAATGTAACCAATCTTGTTTAAATACTCTTCTATCGTAATGAGAATGAGGTGTACCTCTAAGACCATCTCCATCCCTTCTAAGCGGTTTTTGTCCATAAGCGCAGGTGATGTATCTGAAGACACCAACAGCATGGTCCAAGCAAATTATTTTCTTGAAAGTTGTTTTTGAATGGAGTCGTGTACCAGTGCGTTGTAGTTTTTTCTTGTAGGCTAACATTGTGAATCCATTAGTAAAATGTATTAAAGCGTGAAGGTGTTCATATGCTGTACTACCATCGTCTGCTATTAGATGACAACGACAAATAGAATACCATTTAATATTTGTAGCACAAGCAAGTAAATTAAAGTCCTGATACCATTCTTTAAAAAATTCTTCGTAATCTTGTGCTATTTCCTGTGGCGACAATGCGTTAATTTCATTTAGATTCAAGAAAGTCAAATAATCAGTTTTTGATAATAGACATTTTTTTTGTTATTTTTAGAGAAGCTACTCGTAGAAAATGTCTCAGTAGACTGGAAGAGTTTTTAATGTCTCAATACCTTAAATAAATAATTCATAACCCCCACCACTAAGATTTTTGCGCACGCGCAGTAGTACAAATGTAATACAAATACTATCAAATCACAACACCACAAAAATGATGCGTTTGAATATCCACATTCGATGCATTTTTTACATCTTGATCGTTTGTTTATCTACATCGGACACATATGCCCTACTACATTTACGTATATTGAATCACGTGATCAAAGATTCACAAGATTTCACAAGATCTCAGAAGAATCCGATGTGGATATTCAAACGCAGCATAGTCTAAACATAAAACATGACATCATATCATGTGTGAGGTCTTGATTACATTGACCTAATATGTAATAAATAAATAATACATATTTATTAAAAAGAATAAAACCAAGATTAATTCACACTTAAGTCATTATGGGAGCAAATTCCCCAAAAATATTGTATCCACCCAAAATTCCCACCACAGTCAAAATTTCCACCCTATGGGGAAATTTCCACCCAAATGGCAACACTGCATGTATAAACATGTCTATTATTTTACGAATATTTCAGTATTAGATAATGGAACTTAAAACTCACGATTTTAAACTGATTTAATTTGGATATGCACGCTACTATATACCCTCTCTAAAAATTCCCACCTCTCCTATGCTTCCCTCCACTATTCATAATATACAAGTCTGAAGATGCGCGAAGGGTGGGGTTCTACCCCTTCCACCAATGTTTACGTGGCTCATGTCTGCTGAAGACTAGCGCTTCACTCTAGCTATGGCGGTTGAGAGTCAAGGATGTGTTTAGACATGGACTTATTTTCCCTATGCCACAATAGTAGTATTCACTGAGATGTATTTAGACTAAAATCATTACATGATATACATAGTAATTACTATCTAAGAGGTACTTACACTTCGATGAGTATGGGTATTTACTATGCTCGTTACATATTACGTGATATACATAGTTAATACTCTCTGAGAGGTACTTACACCTCTAGGTATATGGAGTAATGAGAGGTGCCATTATTACACTACGCAATTATACTCATTACAGCACATGATAGTAATTGGGAGGTACTTGCTAATTGCTCGAAGGGTGGGGGTGGGTACTTAGGATAATTACTAATTACCCAATTACCTCTCTCTGTACCTTTGACCTTGGTCCATAACTGGCTAATCTCATCTTCTCTTAACTACCACAACATAAAAAGACTACTATTGTTACTATCGCTGTTGTATCTGCTCATAATAGTAACTCTACTTTAAAGTTAAAATATTCAAAATTTAAAAAAATTTTTCGATCCATCTATGGAAGCAGGAATGAACTAATTATTGATTATTTTAGGAAAGTGAGGACGCCATTTTTAGTCCAAATTTTTTTTTAATTATGGATTACACATAAAATGCAACCCAATTTTCATTTATAAATATTTCGGAGGTCTGAGCCTTTTCATATTTTCCGATTAAACGATTTGATAGGAAAATGTTTAACATAGGTGGTTCAAGGTTTCATTTTCAGAAAATTTATTGAATTTGTAGTTTATTCTTACAATGAAAAAGGTCTAAAAATAGGCCATTTTCTGCTACACGTTTTTAATTAAAAACAATTAATTTAAAAAAATCAATGCCTGAACCACCTAAGTTGGACCTTTATCTACAATTAAAAAAAATTGTACGATATATGGTATAATGCACAAGGATATTCTGTCCTTAAAGACCACCATTATGCTTTGTATCTACTTAACCTCTTATAACCATTAACCAATTTTATAAAGAATGAGTATTTGTTTATTGTTTCTGACTACTATACTATTTTAAGTACGTTTATTTACAGTACCTAAACCCTTAAGTTCCTACACACTTTACGCACTTATCGTCACAAAAAAATCTCATTCGAGCTTGTTCGTTTGCGGTGCCCATACCGCTGTTGGTGTGAAAGAAAAATCGATGTAAAACGATGAATGAGAATCAAAGCACTCCAAGTGAAGCGGTTAGTGCTTCAAATGAAGTGAAAAAGCCCTTAAACGAGTCTTTTAAACGGCAATAGACAATGGGGCCATTGATTTCACTATTCGGTTTTATAGTGATCCTTCGAACATGTGGTTGAATGAGAATATTTTTTGTACGAGTAAATTTGATATTTTTTATTATACACCTATAGATGTAAGTCGAGAATTATTAGTCAAAACAAAGCCTGTTTTGAAATTAAAAACGACGTTGATATGACTACTGTTCCAACCAGCGTCTGAATAATGTATTTTCTCTTTTTAAAACAAGGAAATACTGAATTTATGACAAAATATAACGATTATTTTTTCAACGTTCTTTTGTAGGATGAAATATTCTAGGGTAAACGAAATAAGTTTATTAATTATTGATTAATTAATTAATTAATTAATTAATGCTCTTTGATTATCGTGCCTTTGAAATTTAATGTTCAGGTCTTTTATTATCACAAAAAATATTATGTTTGATTGTTAATTAAATGAAGTGGACTGTATAAAAATAACGTATATATAAAAATGTATAAATAACCCAATATTTCGGTGGCGCAAAGAGGTTATATCTTCATTTTTAAATAATATGAGTGTAACATATCCTTCCATAGTTTTAAAAAAGGATCTACTATCTATAATGAAGGGATTAAAGCTTAAATTCATATATGTTGTTGATGAGATGGCTAAAAGATTCGGTCATACTGTTAAACACTTGTCACTTTTGTCTATAGAATTGATTTGGAGTAATATCAGCAAGCCAACCCTGTTCTTTGTTTATTACCGCAACAGGAAGTCTAGCGCTAGCCCTATCGATATCCATATCGAGATTCGAGAAACCGAATCGAATGTTTCCCATCGCAGTCTGACGCGTGGAGAATAATCC